GGGGGGGGGGGGGGCGGTCAGCCAAGGGACTGGGTCCCCGTGTCCCCAAACTCAAGGTCCTAAGAACACACTCACTGGACTCAAATTCATCTACAAAGGACCAAGTAGGAAAGGACATCTGCCAGACGTCACAGGCTAATTTCCTTAATGGAGAACACAAACGGGAAACTGGGCAGAGGATGTGAACAGACAGTTCAGAGGAATGGGGAAAACAAATCTCTCTTTAACCGGTGACATATCCACATTCACAAACTGCAATGAGGTACTTTTCACTGTCGGGGCAAAAATTAAAAAGTGAGCTGTAGTATCAAAAAAACAGACAATCCGGGCTTCCCTGGTGGCGCAGTGGTTGGGAGTCCGCCTGCCGATGCAGGGGACGCGGGTTCGTGCCCCGGTCCGGGAAGATCCCACATGCCACGGAGCTGCTAGGCCCGTGAGCCATGGCCGCTGAGCCTGCGCGTCCGGAGCCTGTGCTCCGCAACGGGAGAGGCCACAACAGTGAGAGGCCCGCGTACCACAAAAAAAAAAAAAAAAAAAAAAACAGACAATCCAATCCAAAAATGGGCAGAAAAACAGACATTTCTCCAAAGAAGATATACAGATGGCCAACAAACACATGAAAAGATGCTCAACATCACTAATCATTAGAGAAATGCAAATCAAAACTACAATGAGGTATCACCTCACCCCGGTCAGAGTGGGCATCATCAGAAAATCTACAAACAACAAATGCTGGAGAGGGTGTGGAGAAAGGGGAGCCCTCTTGCACTGTTGGTGGGAATGTAAATTGATACAGCCGCTATGGAGAGCAGTCTGGAGGTTCCTTAAAAAACTAAAAATAGAACTACCGTACGACCCAGCAATCCCACCACTGGGCATATACCGTGAGAAAACCATAATTCAAAAAGAGTCACGTACCACAATGTTCACTGCAGCTCTATTTACAATAGCCAGGACATGGAAGCAACCTAAACGCCCATCGACAGACGAATGGATAAAGAAGACATGGCACATATATATGATGGAATATTACTCAGCCACAAAAAGAAACAAAATTGAGTTATTTGTAGTGAAGTGTATGGACCTAGAGTCTGTCATACAGAGTGAAGCCAGAAAGAGAAAAACAAATACCGTATGCTAACACATATATATGGAGTCTAAAAAAAAAAAAAAGGTTCTGATGAACCTAGGGGCGGGCCAGAAATAAAGATGCAGACATAGAGAATGGACTTGAGGACCTGGGGAGGGGGAAGGGTAACCTGGGACGAAGTGAGAGAGTGGCATGGACGTATATACACTACCAGATGTAAAATAGCTAGCTAGTGGGAAGCAGCCGAATAGCACAGGGAGATCAGCTCGGTGCTTTGTGACCACCTAGAGGGGTGGGATAGGGAGGGTGGGAGGGCGGGAGACACAAGAGGGAGGGGATATGGGGATATACGTATGCATATAGCTGATTCATTTTGTTATACAGCAGAAACTAACAGAACATTGTAAAGCAATTATACTCCAATAAAGATGTTAAAAAAAACACCACCTTAATAGAAGCCTAAGGTATATGGGTATTATAGGTAATCGAAAGTTGTAGTTAATTTGAGGGCTAATACAATTTTTACGTCCAAAAAAAAAAAAACCAGTGAGCTAATGATATTGCATGTGTAGAGAAACACTCACTCGGATATGAGTCACAGGAATGTAAATCCATAAATTTGGTAACATCTACTAAAATTTTAAAATGCACATATTGTTTAACACAGCAATTCCACTTCTAGAAATGTATCCTGCAATTAAAATTCCGTATTTTATCCAATGAGATGTATGTAGTTGTTAATGCAGCATTTGTAAAGGCTAAACGTTAGAAACTCTGAAACTGTCCATCAACAGAAGACTGGTTAGAGCAATCACGGACGGGCATAAAAATGGAATCTCAGCCAAGTTTTGGAAAAAATAAGGCAGTTCTACTTACAAATACTACTAGGAAACAATCTCCAAGGTTACAAAGTTAAGTGCAAAGGCAAGGTTTAAAACAATTTGTGTAGCATACTAACATTCCTGTTTTTAAAAAGCATACATACATCCTGGCATGTGCTTTTAAAGAAATTACCAAGAAAGCAGCAGTTTCTCTCCAGGGAGACACTGGGGGGCTGAAGGGCCAGAGCTTTTTAGGGGTCTTCCCCAGCCACCACGGGACACAGGCCCTCAGAGCTGCATCGAAAGACTGTTCCCAGGGGGGCCTCTTCTCACCCCACAGGGAGGCCGCAAAGAACAGCCAAGGGGTCCCAAACCTTGCAGAGTAATCTGGGCGTACGCTTTCCCCCAGGAAACCCTCGGGAGGCCTGAGAAGCCGGCTCACAGCCTCCTGGACCTCAGCACGAGGGCCCACCGGTGACATGCAGACCCCGTCCCATAGTGTCCACACGTCCACCTGCCTGACCCCCACCCTGCTGGCCGCTACAGCGCGTGGTCCATCGTCATGACGCTGCTATACACTCGCCCTCCCTGCCTGCTTCTTCCGTCTTCCTGCCCAATGAGAAATCACCAGTGTCCCCCACGTGGCAAGTCTAATGGTTACTTCTCCTGACCCCTGACCCCCGGACTCTTGCCCCTCTGAACCTGCCCCGCCCTGCAGGCTCTTCCTCCCTCCCCACCGGCCACCCTTCTCAGGCCCCTCCGCTCCACTCCCTGTACGTGCTGGGTCCTGGGCCCCCGCGTGCTGGGCTGCACCGTCTGCCCAGCTGCCCTCACCCCACGACTGCAGACACACACGCGTGCGGCTGCCCACCCCCTGGCTCCGCCTCTGTCAGCGCTCACGACGCTTCACCTCAACCTTCTCAAGAAGGATGTGAGTCCAGCACCTTCCGCGCTGGCTTCTCCCCCAGGACCTGGCATCTCCAGGCTACCGGCTGCCCGGAGGCCCAACCTCCTCCGCTCTTCACACCCCCTTCCTTCCTCTTGAGCAGCAGCTCTCAGCGTGTGGTCCCAGGACCAGCCGCGTCACCGTCACCTGAGAACTTGCGAGAAACGTCCATCTTGTGCCCACCCCGCCCCCCAAGACCTGCACAGTCAGGAGGGGGCCCAGCGATTCGTCTAACGAGCCCTCCGGTGGCCATGCACAACCTGGACTCCGAGAACCACCCGCTCCAAAACACACCTCCATTGACCACTGTCTGCCCGTCCCCACGGCTGCCCCCCTCTCCCGGCCGCCCCCCGCCTCCGTACTCACCTCCTCACCATCCGCTCTGCACGCGGCGGTCGTCCCCGCCCCGCTTAAAACCCTCCCCAGGCTTCACTCTCCAGAGGACAAAACCTGTCTCCTCATCCACTCCGGCCTCTCTCCAGCCCCAGCTCGGGCCGCTGGTTCACCTCCACCCTGCGGCCACCCTGCGGCCACCCTCCGGGCACGAGGGCCACCGTGCAGCTCCTCGGACACACCAAGCGGCCCCCGGCGCCGCGCCCGCCCCGTGCCCAGGACCCCCATGCCGCGGCATCGAAGCGCCAGAGGGGCCTGCCCTAGCCGCCGAGACTCGCCACCGGCCAGCCTCCGTCACGCTGCCCCGCTCCGACCCTCCACTGGGTGCTTCCGGGCCTCGTCCAGTTCCTCTGTCTCCCCCATGAGGCGTGAGGTCCCAGGGGACAAGGGCCTTGTCTGCCACGACAGCTGCGGGGTTTCAGTGGAACGCAGCCTGGCACACAGCAGCTGCCCCAGAAACACTGCTGAATCAAGGAAGGGGGTTTGTACTTAAGAACGAACGGAAAACTGCTCTCTCCTTGACCAGGCCGGGCGGAGGAAGAGCCAGCTCGAGACGCCAGGGCGGCCGGAGAAGCAGGCCCACGGGGGTGGGATGGCGGGGGCGCTGCCAACTCCGAGGCCGCGAGACCCCAGCCGCCCGCGTGTCTTAGGCAGCCGCCTGTCTTGGGGGGCTGGGGCCACAGCCTCCGGCTGGCACCCGAGGGGGGCTCGCGGGAAAGGCCAGGGCAGGTCTGCTGCCCGCCGGCGCTCCCACCCCGACCAGACACCCACCCCAGGATCGAGGGCAGACACAGACAAGGAGCCACCCTTTTCCTCCCAGACACTTACCGAGGGGCCACTGCATGCTGAGGCCCCGGGGGCCAGGAGCGCAGACTCGACCAAAGGTGGTTCCGGGAAGCCCTCCCGACCCGCCACGCACCACGCACAACGCCCAAGGCAAGGCGTCTGTCAGGCCCCTGCGGGGCAACGGGAGTAGAGGACAGGCCAAAGCCCCAGCGCCCCCACCCCCCGGGGAGCAAAGCGTGCCGAAGCCTTTTTTAAACCGGAGATTTTACTTCCAGAAGAATTGCTCCAGAGAAATAATGTCTAAACTGTCAAAGATTTATACACGGGGAGGTTTACGACAGCACTGCACTAAACCTAGAAGTTCAAACGTAGAAGGTCGCTCGTGGTACATTCATGCAACGAAATATGCTACAGACACAGCAAGAAGTGTATAAGTAAACTACGAAACAGTTGTAGGCGCGGGGAGAGGCAGGGGCATGAGGGCCAGTGGAGGGGAGGCCTTTCGCCGTGTATGTATCTACTCTGTACTTTGCAAATCTGGTACCAAGCACAGAAAATTCCCCCAAATACTGAAGTTAAAAATCTTTTCAATCATTTATTTTTCATCGGGAAATGATAAAAGTCAGTTATAAAGCAGATAAAAAGGTAAAATTCTACCTTGATAAAAGCACACGATTTATTTAGATGTATTCATCCATGTCCAAAATAACATGCAAGGATATTCAGCAGAACACAACCAGTGGTTACCTTTGATTGACAGGATTTGGGTGATCTTATTTATTTTTGATTCTCTGTGTTTGTACGTTTCCACTGTAATATCAAATATATATCCAAAAATACTGGGTTGGCCAAAAAGTTCGTTTGGGTTTTTCCATAACATCTCACAGAAAAACTCAAACAAACTTTTTGGCCAACCCAATATAAAGGGGGGAATGAAAGCTGGGTGACAGGGGAAAGCATACGGCCTGGGAGGCGCCCTGCGCCTGGCACTCTGTAAGCCCCACTCACAACACTCACCTTGAGGAGCTTGAAGCGAGAGGCGGGAACAATGAAGTGTCTATTCTGCTTCTTCTTGCAAATACTGCAGCTACAGAAAGACAAGAGCAGACCTCGGACTGTGAACGACCACCTGCACCCTCTGAGTTCCCCTCAGGGCCCAACCTGCCAGGAGCCAGCTGACCCTTGAGGTGAAGCCCCTTGCAGCGCCATCCCAGGAAGGGCAGCTGGGGCAGGAGGGCCAGCGGCCTGGGGCCTCTGCTCTGTGTGTGCAGGAGGGCCCACGGGTCCCACAGCCAGCAGTGCAGGCCACGCACCCCTCAGGAAACCAGGACCCGGAGAACCACACTCCTGCTGCCCACCCTTGGTTTACTACGGTGAAGGGAACTGCTGGATTCTGGAGACAGTAGAAAACAAGCATCAGGCAGAGCTACGACCTTCGTACGGATAAGGAAGCTTAGGTTTCCCTCTGTCCTCATCTGCACATCACAGAAAGCCCAGCTCCACATCAAACAGGTCCTCAGAATTAAATATAAGTCCCCCCACCGTTTTAGTCCACCTTTTAAAAAACTCTAATTTCGTATAAAATCCTCTAACAACTTATTCCAGGGGCTGCTTCTTCAATCTGGACCACACTGTTTAGCAGCAGGACCAGCTCCCCGTGGGAGGAATTCCACGGTATTTATTTATTTATTCTTCACATGTAATTCAGGCACCACAGCACCAAGGGGCAAAAGGACTGGATACTGTTGCATAATCAGTTACACACCAACTACGGGCCAGACACAAGTCCGAGCCTGGAGACCCTGTTCTATCACAAGGCCTGGGAGGTGCTGACAGCAGACGCTCCACTGATCCTGGCAGCACTGCCTGCCTCACCTGGAGCAACGGGGCCAGGTGACCTGGGGCATGACAAGCTTCCAGGTGCATACGCCCTGACCTCAGCTCACCTCACCTCACCCAACTCCCGAAGACTCTGCTCAAGGCCTTTCATTCAGTGCCCGGCCGCAAGGTCTCTGGGGAAGCACTCCCACCGCCAGCCCCCCGCCCCAGCACCGGTGTCTCTGGGGCACTCTGCTGGGCACAAGTCGAGGGCCCTGCTCCACATCCCCTGGGGCTGTGCTGCAGGACTGAGCTGTGTCACACCCAGCACGCTGTTATTTTTAGCCTCCCCCAGTCTTTAAACCTTTTTTCATTAATGAAAACATCTAACACAACTTCTAACGTCTAAGCAACTTGGGAAGAGAAAACACTCACTTGCAGTCAAAGATGTGCAGGTCTGCAGAGGCCCAGACTTCAAAGCGAACCGCCCCACAGTGGCAGCCTCCTGTGTGTTTCACCAGGCCCTGGTATTCACTGTAGGGAACACAAATCAGGAAGATGAGGGTTTCTGAATAGTCAGGCCATGGTTGAAAGAAAGAAGCAAGATGGGACGGAAGTCGTCACAGGACCACCAGATGCATTCC